ACAGAAAATTCTAAAAATGGTAGAAATGTATTTAATTACTTATTTTTAGTACCCCTCAATCACTTTTATTACAAAAATATAAAATGTACAGACATCTGCTATTTACAGTTTTATTATATGTATAGATAACAATGGTAAGCTCTCCAGTGAAGTCCAAGTGCGGGTAAAGCGGTGCAAGGAGAATATAGAGCAGGATTCAGAATTACATAAATTGAGAGTCCAGAGGGAAAAAATATTGATAAAAAAAGAAGAAATATTATTGGAAAAAGAGTCACAGCAAGCCACATTTCAAATAGAAAAAAACAATTTAGAAATCAAGAAACTTAAGTTAGAAATAGCATTATTGGAAAAAAAATTAAATTAATTTATTCAAAGTCCCTGTAAAAATTGTTTTATTTACATGAAATTACTTAAATTACAATAATATACAATAATTTCAATAACTACCAGAAATACATTTCAAAAATGTCGTTCAATAAACATTCTCCTAAAAACTAATCCCTGTCTATTGGATGGATTGGCATTCCTTCTGTCAATTCTTCTTATAACCGGTGGTTCTATATTCTCCTCAATTTCATTATGCAAACGACAAATATTATACAAAATGGCTGTGGCTACTACTACATGGCATGTTGTTGTCAGATTTGTCGCTAGTTTTTTTGACAAACATGGGAAAATTCTTTTCCAAACACCTATAGTTCTCTCAACAGTATTTCTGGTCTTAATGTGAGCTTTATTATAATTTTGTTCAGCATCTGATTCTGGCCGTAGAACTGGTGTCAGTAAATATGTTTGGCAACCATAACCACTGTCACCTAAAAGCAAGCCATCAATTTCTCCTCCTTCCAGCTTTGCTTTTAATGTACTTGCTTGAAATATACGATTATCATGAACTGAACCTGGTCTGTCAGCTACAATGTCATATATTTCTAATTCAGGGCCGCATACAAGTTGTGTATTTATGGAGAAAAATTTTTTCCTGTTACGGAAAACTTCAGCAAAATTTCCTCCAGGGTTTTGGATAGCAACATGTGTGCAATCTATGCATCCTCTTACTCCAGGAAACTGCGCAATCTGGTAAAATTTTAGTTTTGTATATTCACTGTTTTCTGGGAATTTTATGTACCGTTTTATTTGCAAACTAATCAAATAGGACACTCTTTTGACGATTCTTGAAACGGTTGGTTGGCTAACACTAATAAGGTCGCCGCTGATAATTTGAAAACTGGCTGAGGCATAAAATCTGAGTGCAATTAGCAACTGGTACACTGGGGGAATTGGTAGTCCTCTTTTTGTAAGTTTCTCGAGATTGTGAGAAATTAGCGGCATAAGTACGTTTAATACTGTTTCTTTGCGAAATCTATATCGCTGTTTAAATTCCACTTCACTATAATATTCGAAAGGGTTCTGAAAATCTCTGATAACACGCCTTATTGTCACGCTTTCTTGGCGATTCACTTGTTCGTCCAAGTAATTATCAAATTCCTCATCACTACCACTCATTTTTATTTTAACTAGGTAGTACTAAAATACACAAAAGACAAACAATAGTTTATAAGTTTATATCATGGAGTATGGTTTATATATAAGTAATAACTTATGCTTTATTATTTTGAGGTTATGAATATGACATTTACGCCGACCCTATGCGTTCGTTAAAGTAGCTAATGGGTAACTTTAGCCAAGGCTGTCCCTAATTAGTTGCATAGTGTCGTCCAACACTCAAGTAACGTTTATGAAACAAAATTTCGTCCACTGTGGGTTAAAGCCTACTGTGCGTACGCATAGTATCGTTCTTGAATACGGGTGTAAATTTATTAGCGTCACCTACTGGGGAATAGCTAAAATGTTGTCTTAATAAATGCTTAGCGTTGTTTTGCTATTTTTAGCTAGAAGGCAGTCTAGCTCAAAGTTTTTATATATATAAATGTTCCCAATACCCGCTCTATAGTATATATAGTGTTTCACCACAGGTGCTCAAATTTAGCAGTTAAATAAAATAAAAAATTTAAACTTATGTTTAGTGCCGTCTTGTAAAATACTACCCATAGTAGTTGAAAACTTTTAAGGGTAATTTAGAAACATCATTATTAGGGAACATATTAAGGGAAAAAAATCCGATCTAGGCATTAAACTGCGGACGTGATGACCACAAATATGAGCAGAAGTACGAATTTTCGAAATTTTATAAAACATGGCGTAGACCGCGAACCGTTCGGGATAGAATTTTTTTTTAGGGAACCGAGGCCACCTCCCTCTCGCCCGAACACGTACGTACCAGATTATCCACCATTACTGGGACATCCTGTATATAATCATCATCATCATCATCATCATCATTACAGCCCTTCACAAGTCCACTGCTGAACATAGGCCTCCCATAAAAAATGCCACAAAGCACGGTCCTGAGCCACCTGCATCCATCGACTTCCTGCATGTCTTACCAGGTCGTCACTCCATCTCGTGGGGGGACGCCCTACACTTCGCCTACCGGTACGAGGCTGCCACTCGAGAACCTTTCTTCCCCATCGGTTGTCGGTTCTTCGAGCTATATGGCCGGCCCATTGCCACTTCAGCTTACTAAACCGTTGGGCTATGTCAGTTACTCTGGTTCTACTGCGGATATCCTCATTCCTAAGTTTATCACGCAGAGAAACTCCGAGCATAGCCCTCTCCATAGCTCGCTGAGCGACCTTGAGCTTCCTCATCCGGCCAGCAGTGAAGGACCACGTCTCAGTTCCGTATGTCATCACTGGCAACACGCACTGGGTGTACAGTCTCGTTTTCAAGGTTTGAGGTATACCTGACGAGAAGATGTGCCGTAAATTCCCGAACGCTGCCCAACCGAGTTGAATCCGTCGATTGACCTCTCGGTCGAAGTTGGACTTACCTAGTCAGACTATTTGTCCCAGGTAAACATACTCGTCAACAACTTCGAGCTTAGTGTTCCCAACAACTACCGGCATAGGTGTGACATGGACATTAAACATGATCTTAGTTTTGTCCATGTTCATCTTAAGACCTATCCGTTGGGAAACACTATTGAGGTCATTGAGCATAGTGCTTAGGTCCTCCAGCGATTCTGCCATAAGGACTATATCGTCGGCAAATCGAAGGTGAGTGATGTACTCGCCATTGATGTTGATACCGTATCCTTTCCAGTCCAGAAGCTTGAAAACGTCTTCCAATGCAGCGGTGAAGAGTTTCGGGGATATGACGTCACCCTGGCTTACACCTCTCTGCAATTGGATAGGTTTCGTACTGTGGTTCTGTACTCGGATAGCCATCGTAGCCCTACTGTACAAGCACTTCAACACTTCGATATACCGACAGTCAACTTGGCACCGCTGAAGGGACTGCAGCACCGCCCAAATTTCGACGGAATCAAAGGCTTTCTCATAGTCCACATACGCCAGACATAGTGGCAAATTGTACTCTTCGGACTTCTGTACAATTTGCCGAAGGGTATGTATGTGGTCTATGGTGCTAAAGCCCTTTCGGAAACCGGCTTGTTCGGGAGGCTGGAAGTCGTCAAGTCTGCGCGAGAGACGATTCGTAATGACTCTCGAAAACAGCACGTAGACGCGGCTCAGAAGGGAAATCGGTCTGTAGTTCTTCAAGAGAGCGTTGTCACCTTTCTTGAAGAACAAGACCACCGCACTTCTGCTCCACGCCTCCGGTGTAATGCCACCATGGAGGACGGAATTAAAGAGGTTTTCCACCCGCTTTCAGAAGCTCCGCTGTAATTCCATCCTCGCCTGGGGCCTTGCCGTTTTTAAGGTGCTGGAGAGCCATTCTAATCTCGCTCAGACTGACGTCCGGGATATCTTCGGAATAATGTCGGATGAGACTCGCTCTTGGATCGTTACTCACACTTGCGTGTGGCTCCAACGATGACGTGTACAGCTGCCCATAGAACCTCTCAATCTCACTCAAAATCTCAGGTGCCCCGGAAACGATGCTGCCACATTCGGTCTTCAGCTTTGACAGTTGGCTCTTTCTGGCAGACAGATCTCTGGCAAAGACTTTGGAGCCTTGGTTCCGCTCGATCGCTTCTTCAATACGAGCTGTATTGAAGTTGCGTAAGTCCCGCCGCATGCATTTGGAGATCTGTCTGTTCAGATGCCTGTATGCTGTCAAGTCTGTTGAAGAATGTAGCTTCATCTCCCGTCTAACAGCTATGAGATTAAGAGTGTGATCGGAGAGTTTTTGTGTTCTTCTGCGGCGGGTCTTGCAGAACTTAGCTCCGACCGCATGGACAGTTTCCACGAGTTTGTCATTCATATCGTCCACTTCATTGCAGTCTTCTAGGCACTGAAAACGGTTTTGTAACTCGAGCTGAAAGGTTTCGGGACTTTGGATTAGAGCACGAGGGGGACGGAGCGTTGACTTCATTAGACGAGACCTCTCCAACTTAACGTTTAGGTTCAGTGTGCCTCTAACCATTCGGTGATCGCTACCAGTTTTCACCCTCGCCATCACGGAGACTGTATATAATATACAGTCTCCGTACTGTATATAATATATATATATATATATATATATATATATATATATATATATATATATTAAATCTCTTTGCTTACATGTATACTGTAATAGTGCAGTTTATACGACACGAAGGATATTATATATTGAAGGATATTAAAGTATAGTCGAATTAAAGACATCAAACTAGGAACACATCTCCTTATTTAACATCTCAATGTTATACCGCACACATTGCAGCGTGGGCTGTAGTGGTTAAGTGGTATAGTCACAGCAGCACACACACACACACACACACACACACACTCGCACGCACACACGCACACGCACACGCACACGCACGTACGCACGCACACACACACACACGCACACTCACCCGTGTGCTCTCGTATGACGAGTGACGAGTAGAGGGACCAGTTGAGCAGCAGGCGGCGCGCACGTGCCGTGTAGTCGCTGCGGCGTTCGTGTGTGTACACACACACACACACACACACACACACACGCACACTCACCGCAGCGTGAGCTCGCGTATGACGAGCGACGAGTAGAAGGACCAGTCGAGCAGCAGGCGGCGCGCACGTGCCGTGTAGTCGCTGCGGCGCTCGTGTATGGCGAGTGCGTTGCGCACGCAGCTCTCCAGCCACGCAGCCCACTGCTCTAGCGTCGCGCCGCGCCCCAACGTCGCCTGCCATAACAAATTTTATCACATTTGGTGAAAATTTAAACAGTACCCTAACCCCGGCTTATGCTATCAGTCAAACACTACTTGATAAAGCCAAAATGACCATGAAATTTGATAAATGATATTTAGAGGGTTTTTTATAAGTTTAGGGTTTATTTAAAGCTAGGTTACGTCGAGCTAGGCTAGGAAAGGCCTGAACCAGCTAAGCTAGACTTGGCTTAGCGAAGCCAAATCAAATTCGAGCAGCTTTAGCGCAGTACCTTGAAATCTGCCTCGAGGCGGTGCGCGGTGGCGGCGCTGCCGCAGGCGCAGGCCCAAGCGGCCTGCTCGCGCACCACGCGGAAGTCCACCCGGTTCAGGTCCGCCAACATCTGTCAAAGCACAACCTCCGCTGTTATGTCTCTTCCTCCTTTTTTTTAGTAAGCTTATAGCAGTTCATAAATATATTTAAGACGCTTTGAAATGGTAATCGCTGTACCAGATGTCTCGCTCCTTCAGACGCTTCCAGAACTCGTTCCCTGTGGCCGATTCGAATATTGTACATATAGCGATGATTTACGGCCATATATCGGAGACCATGTGATCTTTTCGTTCTTTCCTATAGTCGCATTTTACGAAAACATTATCTCCGATATAATACTTTTTTTTAACAATTATAAGCCAATGATTGTATGCGGTTATGTCAATGTTGATTTCATAAATACGCGTAATTAAAACAAATTGATTGATTGGTCCGTACGAACTGGTCGCTCAACCGCTGTGGAGAATGGTGTGCACGGCGCGCACTCACCTGCTGGATCTGGTTGTGGTTGGTGAGCACGGCGCGCGCGGCCTGCGCCAGGTGGTTGAGCGAGGTGTAGCGGCGAGGTGCGGCGCGCACTCACCTGCTGGATCTGGTTGTGGTTGGTGAGCACGGCGCGCGCGGCCTGCGCCAGGTGGTTGAGCGAGGTGTAGCGGCGAGGTGCGGCGCGCACTCACCTGCTGGATCTGGTTGTGGTTGGTGAGCACGGCGCGCGCGGCCTGCGCCAGGTGGTTGAGCGAGGTGTAGCGGCGAGGTGCGGCGCGCACTCACCTGCTGGATCTGGTTGTGGTTGGTGAGCACGGCGCGCGCGGCCTGCGCCAGGTGGTTGAGCGAGGTGTAGCGGCGAGGTGCGGCGCGCACTCACCTGCTGGATCTGGTTGTGGTTGGTGAGCACGGCGCGCGCGGCCTGCGCCAGGTGGTTGAGCGAGGTGTAGCGGCGCAGCGCGGCGGCGAGCGCGGACGCGGCCACGGCCTGAGCGCGCGCCGCTACCGCCGGAGCGCTGCCTGCCCCAGCAGCCAGCGCAGATTCCAGACTCTTCGCAAAATTGCGGATCGCCTGCCCGAATTTATATCACTTTATATTATTATGCAAGTGCAATTAATAACTAATACGTTTGTTCACGCCCTTAGCTACCCGGCAAAGGTCGAATGGGCTAGGGCCCATAGTAGCATCCTCAACGAGCAACAGAGGACGGGGTCCAATGACCTATGGATAAATGTTCAAAAACGGCTGACAAATAAGCAAGCACTTACCGATCTCCGGAGGTAGGGTTGACCACAGGGTACCAGTCAGGTGATAAGTGAGGTGTATGTAAAGTGGTGTGCGAAAGTGTATATACATGTAACCTGACGGTCCGATGTAATCGGAGAGAAGATCCACAGGCGCTGCTGCTCTCCAAATGTGCGCTCCCTCCAGTCGTAGTTCACCAATTGAAAACTACTGCCTTCTTTTCACTATTTCAGTTTATCAACTTTATTGTACATTTAATTAACTTCAAAGTCAACCATCTCAACATTCATCGAAATTAAAACAAGTGACACACGACACAAGTAACAAATCGTCGTTCAAAGTTCAATATTCAATGTTCCGGGTTCACGTAGCACAAATTTACAAACACGGAAACGAACGCGGCCTCTTCTCGAGTCTCAAAGTTCAGCGTTCCACACGACAAGCTAAAATTCTTTCGTACGATATTAAAATACCACGCCCGCAATCAGGACACAAAATCAGCCTCGTTGACACGTAAAACTAACGAAAATAGTCAACAAACAAAAGGCACTTAACGCGACGTTACAATTCAACATTAACTTCCAAAAACAATTAACCGGGCCACGCCCTCGAAATGAAATGCGAGCATCAAATTCCAGGCCGTCTGTCCACTCAGCGTGCGCGCACGGTTCCACGTCACATAAGCAAATTAAATATTGCAAAATGCACTTCAACATGCAATCACTATACAAATTGACGTAAATTACTTGCAAACGAAGTTACTTTAATCACTCAAATTCAAGAACAAACGCCTCGTCGTTACGTAAACGTACTAACAAAAAAAAACGATCCGAATTAGGCTTCCTTTTGCACGCGGCCTCGCAGTTCAACGGAGCTAAACGACGGTCTATTCGAGGCGGTCTTAACGAGAACCAACCTACTAACGGTCGCAAACAATACTCTAGTCGAACATGCCGCGGCGTTCAATACACTGTTCACTTCGCCCACGCGTCGAGCGACCGAGCGATGAGCGGAGAGACGCGCGCGGGGGGCGCCAGGCTGACTGGCACCATCGAACGAACGTGCCGCGCGCGCATCTTGATGCAAATTTTTAAAATATTACGATTTAGCCCAAGCAACGTTTTTAATACACCATGGTTGGGGGTTACCATGAGGACCTCAATCAACAACGGGCCCTAATCATGGTAAGAAGTAAGAAATATAGATGTGAAGATACTACAGTAAAGTCAAGGCAAAGTTTTTAATTAGAAAGAATCATTCTGGTGGAAAATGGGAAATGGACTGTAATTTGCATAAACGCTGGCTGATTCTACTCGAAACTGTTGACTAGACAATACTACTAAGGTCGGACGTACCTGAATATACGAAGGTGGATGCTCCTGCTCTCGTGTGCTTCGGGGATCCCAGCTACACGGATTTCGGTCACTCACGATTATCCAATTCGCGGAAGAACTTGCGGCAGAACTTATATTAGGGAGCAGCGAAAAAACGTGCCTTTTCCCACGACGCGCGGCGTTGACAGTATGTCGATCACGTGACGGAAAGATGTCCATAATTTTAACGGACCAATAGTACGCAAGAATCACATCGAAACGCGAAATACACGGACATCCAAACCAAAGTAACATTGGTGTAACAGTTGCGAGTATTCAGAGCAAATAAACAAAGAAATTTCGGCTGTTTATTAAACTAGCCGAACCACATTCGAAGAGCAAATCAGAAACATTCCACCAACTTTAATACTTGTGTATGTGTGTTGTGTCTGTATGTGCGTGGTTGTGTGCGTGTGCACGTGCGCGTGCGTGTATGTGTACGTATGCGTGTATGTAAGTGTGTGTTTGAATGTGTGTGGGCACGTGTATGTACGTGCGTGTGTGCCTGTGTACGTGCGTGTGTGCCTGTGTACCTGCGTGAGGTGCGGCGGGATGGGACGCAGCACGTCGGGCAGCAGCAGGTCGACGGCGCGCTGGTGCAGCTGCAGGTCGGCGGCGCGCAGCCAGCGCGCCACGTCGCGGCGCGCGCACAGCTGCAGCAGCGCGCGCCGGCACAGCATCACCGGCCGCCGCCAGAACGCGCGCCGCGACCGCTCCACCGCCACCGTGTCCAGCCCCGCCACAGCCGCCAGGAACTCCGCGCCGTGCGACCTGCAACATACACCACACACACACTCACATTTACTTCATCACCATCATCATTACAGCCCGTCACAAGTCCACTGCTGCACATAGGCCTCCCCCAAGGATGCCACAAAGCACGCTCCTGACCCACCTGCACCCGTCGACTTCCTGCATGTTAAACCAGATCGTTACTCCATCTAGTGGAAGGCCGCCCTTCACTTCGCTTACACGTTCGAGGCTGCCTCGAGAACCTTTTTTTCCCCATCAGTTGTCGGTTTTTGGAGCTTTATAGCCGGCCCATTGCTACTTCAGCTTACTCCTTACCATTACTTACGGCTATGTAACTACAGTTACAACATGGGATTTCAATTACATTTTGATGATGTTGTGACAGGTGGTTACTTCGTTCGGTTCATACTTCGGTGATTTGGTCATGTGAAAAGAATGAACGAGGAAACAGTGACAAAGCAAAGGAGACAATTTATATGGAGAGTTGACCCACCACAAATTATAGCGAAACTCAATGAAATGCATGTCGATTTATTTGATATAATCAATCCATAGATTACAATATAAATGTTATATTAATGTAATATCAATGTTACCACATCTAACAAGAAATCAACAATTAATAAATTAATCTCACAATTACCTAAAACTAAACTAAACGCGGTAATCGTTACCGTTGCAGCCTACTCAAGTCCATTTCTAAACACAGGCCTTCCCCATAGATTGCCTCATAGGAGGTGTACAAGATGTTAATGTTAACTTTTTTTGTAGAAATTTAAAGACGTGATTACTAAGGTACACTGTCCACGGAGGCGTAGCTTCTTAGACGCGTATTCGTCATTATACGCTTGGTGTACGCTTACTTGCAGCTTACATACAAAACAATGTAACTCTGTCGACGGAGCGGCAACGTCGCGCTCGCGTCGCTGCACGCAAGCTTCATGACGCCTGCCGTACTTGCTGTCATACGCCGGGGCGTACATGGAGTGAACGCACGTGTTTTTTATTGTAAAAAATGGCGGGAACGGCTGCCAAATTTGTTCAGATAATAGAAAATTATCCGTGTTTGTATAACAATAATCTTGCTGAATATGCTAGAAAATATTTAACTGAAAAGGCTTGGAGTGAGGTGGCGAAAGAAATACAATGGACGGGTGAGCATTTGTTTTTATTTATTTTATAGTAAAATACATAACATTTATTCAAAAATGCAATTATTCCACTGCCATGGCAGATCAACATTAGGCTGCAAAAAGTAATTTGCTAAATAATTACGTAAACCGTTAGGCGTGTTTACAAATGTCATGTTTGGTATCAAAATTGGTGCATGTCGAATATTGGACACATTAAAACTGTCTGTAGTCGTTGTGTATTGCACACCATCATATCTTCGTATGTAATTATGCAAAATACATACGCACTGTATTATTGAAATTATTTTTGAGTATTTACGACATGATATAGCTTTCAGTAGTACTTGAAACTTTTGTGTCAACATACCAAAAGTGCATTCAATACTTTTTCGTCCGCGACTTAACCTATAATTGTAAATTCTTTTCACATTATCCAGATTTCTTACTGAATAGGGTCTCAATAAATTTCTCCTTAAAGGGAATGCATTATCTCCCACAAAGTAATAAGGAAAACGATTGCCTGTGGCATCATTTGGCAATGCTGTTGATTCAGTTGGAATGTTCAAACCTTCCCTTTCCAACCAATGCCCACGCGCTGATACTTGAAACACGCCACCATCACTATTCCATCCGGCAAATCCATATTCTATGCTGGTAAAATATCCATCTGCATCACAGCATCCAAGCAAAATAATAGAGTGATAGCCTTTATAATTGTAGTTGGCTGAACCTGTGTTTGGAAATTTCTGTATCCTGATATGCTTACCGTCGATCGAACCCAAGCAATTGGGTAGATTCCAAAGTTCATAATACCTTTTCGCAATTTCTTTCCATTCATCAGTAGTTGGTACAGACATGTATGTATCCTTCAATGCATTCCATATTATTTTAGTTGTTTCTGATATCACACGCGACACGGTACATTCTCCTCGGGCAAAGTAAAATCCCAATGCTCGAAACGAACAGCCTGTAGCTAAATACCTGAAAAAATATGTTATTAGTTCATTAATATTAAATAATAAAAATCTGTTTGTTGCAGTTAACGATTGTAAGGAAAAATGGAAAAATATTAGAAATGGTTTTGTTAGAAGTTTAAAACCGAAGGCTAGTGGATCGGCAACTACAAAAAAAATACTATTTACATGATGAGATGTAGTTTATATTACCATACGTCAAACCAGTAATTCACATGAATGAAAGAGGAAATTTACCAAATCCTGAACAATCAACTTTAAATCAGGAGACCCCTGCGTGCCCCGAAGAACAGGCATATGTCCTAAGGTCCTAACAGGAATATTACAGAAGACACTGAATCGGAAAATTATTCCCATGTTGAGAGGTCGTCATTTCAAAAACCAAAAAAAAAGGATTAAACCTGTTAACAACGAAGCTGATAAAGCTTTTGTAGACTGGTTAAAAACAAAAGAAAATAGACACCCACAGATGACCCACGAAAAATGTTTCTGCTGAGCTTGCTACCCGACATACAAAGTCTTACAGATGAACAAATGAGTGTATTTAGAATTAAAATGTTGATGCTTTTGGAAGAAATTAAAAAACCAACGTGTTCAGTTATCCAGCCACAGATAAACCAATCTATTCGCCGATTTCTTCCGGTAACTCCCACAGTTCACAAACACTAGCATCCACACCTTCTCCAATAAATTATTCTAACGACACACAAGTTTTCTCTGACTATTCACAAACACAAATTACCACATTAAACCCTATTAATTATTCACAAAATATTAATGATTTGGAAGATTTTACAATACAATAAAAGTTCACGGATGCGACATACATGTTATTTTTTTTAAACTGATATTTTGGATGGAAAATATAAACCATTTTGATTAAAATATTGTTTTACTTACCGCAACGTGATTAATATCCTTTCATCTGGGCTAACACATTCTCGCATATTGGTATTCTGTTTTTGTAATAATGGTCCTACGATCTGAAGTAAATTTTGATAAGTTGTTTTAATCATTCTATAGAATGAGTGAAATACACTGTCATCTTCTAATAATTCTCTTGCCGCTATGAACAATCTACAGTTGATATTTCTTTCTATATATGGATGGGTCCAATATAATCGTCGTTTTCGTCGACTTCGAATGTAGTGATAAGCCAAAATAACGTCTTCGTCGTCCGACTGCATTCTCACAAATGATTGACAATGTACGCTTGCAATACGCCTCATGGATAGAGATCAGTACGCCGGGCTGTTTAAGCTGCACGGCGTATTTTGAAGCGTCTATGAAGCTACGCCTCCGTGGACAGTGTAATTCGTGATTTATTTGCGACTGATTGAACAAATTATACTTTTAACTATTATATCGACTCACACATGTATACGAACCCGTACTTACACTCGCTCTGACATAGAAGATGATTCTATACGAACAGGCGGGATATTAATCATAGTTGCCACGTCTGGCAAGCGGGTTGCCAACCGGTTTTTTATTTTTACTCTTTATTACAAAGACGCTGTCGCCTCTTACGACAGCCACGGGATGATATGGGGGGGGGGGGGATATTCTTACACCGTCATCTCACGGTAACTACCATTACTTACGGCTATGTATTACAGTTACAAGTGTATAGAAAACCAGTACCATCCTTAAGTTTCATTTTATTCCTCCAAAGAGCATCGGCCAAATACAAGCTGACCAAAATATGAAACGACCACCAATGATAGTGACTTAGGTGTATATTAAATTACGGGGTCCAGCTTATTTTATTGGAGCCGGTAAAATAATTTAGCTTTGAAAAACCTAATTTATTTACTACTTTTTATAGATTTTGAACGCATCTAAACCCGTCCCGTTTTATTCGTGGTACACGTTTCATCATAACACTAAAGTAACACTACCATTATGCGTTTACTTTTTTTAAATATTAGATTTTATTGTAAATTTTTATTTATTTTTGTAGTGTATTATCAATAGTATCATTTTTAGATGGGGATATGGAAAGGATTCCGAAATAAGTTGCAAATGATAGGTAGACAGTAAATATAGAATGCACTAATACTTAGAACGGAACGTATTGTGAGTGTCTCTATGCAGTCTATGGTATTATGACACGAGAGCTGAAGCGTGAGCAAAAGTCAAAGCACCTGTGTTTTAGATACTTAGCAGTGAAAAGATTAGAAAGGTTATTGATTCATTTTTGTAGTTTTAGCCATTGACTTGACTTATTTAGTTAAGTATATTTTAATTATTTTAGCTGAGGTTGTAGTCATGGCTGCAGTCATCGCTACAACGTTACCTCAAAAGTGACGAAATACATAAGTGTAACGTTATATGATCCTCGGCTTTTAAATAATATATTTTCAATTTAGGATTTAGATTGTGCCCAGGGGGAACGGATTAATCCATACACTAGTCATGTTCGCGATATTTTATAGCCAGGTCACAGCATGTATGGGCCGTGACCATAGATTACCCCCTAGGGGGTAATCTGTGGCCGTGACCGATGTCCTTTCATCAAAACAAATTTAAAAGTTCAAAAATGTTTATTAATAAACTACAAGTAAAGTACTGCTAATTTCTAGAGATAAAGTTATATAACTTAATGACTGCACAAGATTTAAAACAAATTCACAATCCCGGTATCTATGGGTATGCAGACGATAGTACAGTTGTGGTGAGATACCAACTAAGTGCCCGGGCCAGTCGGGATCAAATCCAGTCAGAAAGAGAGGCTATGGTAGAGCGTGCGAATCTCAGACTACAGGCAGTCTCTGAATGGGACGATGCCAATCTCGTAAGATTTAACGCCTCCAAAACACAAGCGTGTCTTTTCACCGCTAAAAGGAGCCCGCTCACCTTAGCTCCTACTTTCCGGAATGTATCCTTGGAGTACACTGACCACCTTCTGTTGTTAGGGGTTGAATTTTCTCCGAACCTCAACTATGGGCGGTTCATCGAGTCCAGAGCCAAAGCAGCCGCAAGGAAACTTGGTGTCCTTGCAAGGGTGTGGCGGTACTCCACGCTGGGGCAGCTTCTTACCTTATATAAAGAGCAAGTCCGGTCGTGCATGAAGTATTGCTGTAACATATGGGCTGATGCTGCAAAATACCATCTGACAGCGTTGGACTCAGTGGAGAGACGTGCTAAGAGGCTTATTGGTGACCTTTATTTGGTTGAAATCAATCTTGTCAGCCTCGATCACAGGCGCAGAGTAGCCAGCCTCTCGATATTCTATAAGATGCATTTCGGTGAATGTGCGCAGGAATTACACGCTTTAATTCCTCCCTCTCCTTTCCACTATCGGACAACCAGGCGGTCGGCGGGTCTTCACCCCTTTGTTGTCGATATTCCACGCATTAGAACCAAAAGGTTTGCTTCGTCTTTTGTTATGCGTACAGCAAAGGAGTGGAATAATTATCCGGCGTCTATCTTTCCGTCCGAATACAATCTGGGCGTCTTCAAGGCAAGAGTGAATAGGCTTTTGTTACGCTATGACAATGCGATTTACTATCTAGGGCTGCATCACCACTTAACACCAGGTGGGATTGTAGTCAAGCACTGGCTTATAATAAGTTAAAAAAAATCACTTTGGCCCAGTCATATCTTGTGTAGGTCTCAGTCTATGTCACGTGAGTCATCGAAGATCGCCGTGTATACCAAATTGGTCAATTTTTTTACCAATAGCGAGTAGGAAATTTTGTCAAAAGCTTTTGAGTAATCGATATATACGGCGTCTACCTGATAGCCCCTACTCATAGCATTCAGAATCTGATCGAGGTATTCACACAAGTTTGACTCCGTACTACGTTTGTTACTAAAGCCATGCTGCTATGTAATTAATAACAGTCTTACAACAGAAAATAAAGTATCATAAATAATCTTCTCAAATAATTTAGGCAAAACAAATATTTTAGAGATACCTCTGTAATTACAAACATAAGGCTTGTTACCGGCTTTAAAAACGGGTACGACTATAGAACGTTTCCAAATAAAAGGCATGATACTAGTAGATAGGATAACTTAAAAAGTCTGCTAACGGAATAAACAAGCTTTTTACAACGTTTCAAAAATACAGAATGGAGACCGTCCGGGCCTCTAACCCTTATTAATATCTAGTCCATTTAAATACCCTTTAACATTCAAGGAGTGATTTCAACTGTAGTTAAAAGAGTTTCATTAGAGTGTAACGTGGTATAGGACTGTGACGATACCTCAAAAACAGACTGGAAAAAAATCGCTAAAAAGGCTGGCGATTGATTTGCCGTTAGAAGCGGTTCTGTTCTCAAAGTACATATTATCGGGAATACCATTTATTTGTATATTGGATCGGCGTACTCATTGCTCATTTCTATAGTTGTCTTCAATCAATCCCTTTACTAGAGACTTGAGTTCAACAAGATCGGTTTTAGACGACTCTAAAGCAGAAACCCTCTTTTCGATCTTTGTTACGCGCTCTGAGATCTCATCCATTCTTGAATTGAGAGTTAACTTTAGAACAGCAATATCGCTCGTCACTTGCTTCAAATCGTTTTGGACAAATTGGATAGCTGAGAATTGTGATTGGGAATCCAGCTATTTTGACGAGATGTCATTCAGAATATCACGAACCGATACGTCAGATTGAATATCATCATTAATGGTTGATATTTTAGGTGTCGAAGCTTGCTCCATGTTAAGTCCCGAAGAAAATCTTGACGCGGCTGAAGTACTCATAGGTACCAACAATTAGTAGTGAGCATAGTACCCTCAAGTTGAACACCCTTCGTTGTTAGCAACAACAAAATAAACGCTCTATGGGCGAGTATACTGTGTAGAATCAAAATAAACGTAACTACCCAATGAGCGCTAGTACGTGATGTAAATTATACATGTTGTATTGAAATATAGATAAATTCATAATTCTGTGGATTTACGTAAAAGGTTATATTAAATCGTGCGAGTACGCTTGTACAAAGTTTAATGTGAAATGTCAAAAGGTATTTCTTAGATTTGGTTGAGTATAATAAACCTTTGAGTATCACGTATACTAGTAAAGGCATGCTGCAGAAGTAGCACGAATGAGTCGGCTCAACCGGTGTAGGACCACGCTCTCACAGAATGATAGCGTAAAATAGCACCCTTTATGCTGAAAACGGGGTATTCCATCTCAGTACTCAGGAGTGACAACGTATCTGCATTTTGATTCTTAATTGAGGATAAATGTAGGTGTATATGGGCCTGTGTGCTCGCTTGTCACCCCTTTTACTATAAGAAAAACCATTCCCACCCTATGCTATGCATATACAGTAGTAACGTGTACGAAAAATCAGCACAATTTCAAGCTAGGAGGCATTTCATCTTATTCATCAAAATCTCATCAAAACCAATTTAAGAATTCAAAAATCTAAAATTTATATGTAGTATATGTCACAAATACATTTAATAAAGTAAAAAAAAAATTATTTACGTTCATACTATCAGTGTTAAACACTTAAGTCTTTTGTTTGTTTACATCCATGCTGTCAATTTTAAACTAGTAATAGTCTGTGGTCAAACAGTCGCACAGAGTACTAATTGTCACCAAAAATAATTACTATTTAACCTTCAGTGATTTTAATTGTACCTTTTTTCAATAGTCTGATGAGTATGTCAAGGCAAAAAGCGTTTATCTTTTATACTTATGCTATATTAATGATATAACGTCACCCTGTCTTACATATCTAACTGCAGAGAGGTGTGAGACAGGGTAACGTTATATCCCGAAACTCTTTACCGCTGCATTGGAAGACGTTTTCAAGATACTGGACTGGAAAAGATACGGTATTAACATCAATAGCGAGTACATCACTCACCTTCGATTTGCCAACCATTCCTTATAGCAAAATCGCTGGAGGGCCTAAGCTCTATGCTCAATGACCTCAATAGTGTCTCCCAAGGGAAAGGTTTTAAGATTAACACGGACAAAACACAGTCAAAAAATGTCACCACTATGCCGGTAGTTGTTGGGAGCACTACGGTCGAAGTTGGTGACAAGTATGTTTACCTGGGACAAATGGTCCGACTAGTAAGTCGAACTTCGACCGAGAGGTAAATCGACGGATTTAACTCGGCTGAGCAGCGTTCGGGAGATCACATCTTTTCGTCAGGTATACCTCAAAACTTGAAAACGATATTGTACAACCAGTGCATGTTGCCAGTGATGACTTATGGATGAGACGTGGTCCTTCACTGCTGGCCGTATGAGAAAGGTAAAGGTCGCTGGCGAGGGCTATGCTCGGGGTTTCTTTGCGTGATATATTTAGAAATGAGGATATCCGTAGTAGAACCCGAGTGATCGATATAGCCCAACGGATTAGTAAGCTGAAGTGGCAATGGGCCGGCCATTTAGTTCGAAGAATCGAAAATAGATGGGGAAAAAAGTTTCTCGAGTGGCAGCCTCATACCGGTAGACGAAGCGTATCTCCCACCAGATGGAGTGACGACCTGGTAAGACATGCAGGAAGTCGATGGCTGCAGGTGGCTCAGGACCGTGCTTTGTGGTATTACTTGGGGGAGGTCTACGTTCCTCAGTGGGCTTGTGAAGGGCTGTGGTGATGATGATGATGATGCTGATATATTAAGATTTAATGTGCAGTTGAAAATAAAATACAGCTTATTTAATATACAAACTTTAAAACTTCATGAATTACGGTCGAATTTTTACCACTAGGCGACCAAAAGTAAACTTTGTTCTGTTTTTGTTGCACATGTTTCTCAATCCGGGCAAGAATAAAAAGTTATATTTATTTATAGATTAAAATGTTGGACCCGTGTTAGCAGCCAGGTAGTATCACCACCAGGCGATGCAGCCGTCAAGATCACGATCTTACCGGTGATGTTTCCTCAGTCCCTCGAGGGCCGAATGCGGCACGTCGTCGGGCAGATCGTCGATATCCAGCTCGGGCGGGTCGGGCGGCGTGACGCAGCCCAGGTACTGGCGGTGCGTGCCCCCCGCCCCCACCACGCCCCCCACCCCCGCCACGCCCCCCGCACCGCCCGCACCACCCACCGGGCTCTGCTCCCCCTCGCGCGACCGCGACTCCTGCGCACCGGAAGCACCCTTTATTAATGCCAGTTAAACAACAATATCGTATATTTATCACCGCGAACAAAATCTATACGGCAGTGAAGAAGGCACAGGGTACCGTTTTATGGCGCAAACACTTATTACAAACGCCCAGTCGGAGTCTCTTTTAGTACATAGTACATATTAACAGAAACAGAAACAGAAACTTTTTTATTCAATATAGATTATAAATAATACTTATTGAAAGTCACTCTTTTGTTTGATTACCACTGGTTCGGAAAAAACCTCTGTCCTGGGAAGAACCAGCAAGAAACCCAGCGGGACTTTTTTTTAAATAACAGCTTACAATTATGATGTTACACAAATTAGGAATAGCTTGGTAGCGATCACCTCATTTCCAGGGGTTATTATCATCCATAAATTCCTTAATATTATAATAACCTTTTTTATACAAACTTAGTTTAATAAAGTTTTTGAACTTTGAGCAGGTGAAACTTTGTATATTTTCTGGAATTTTGTTGTAAAAGCGTATACATCGCCCCAAGAATGAATTACTGATTCGGTGGAGTCGAGTAACTGGTACTACTAGCTTGTGTCTGTTCCTAGTATTTACAGAATGAATATCACTTATTTTTGTAAAACTACTTTTATTTTTGTGTACGTACATTACATTTTCATAAATGTATTGAGAGGCCAAAGTTAATATATTAATTTCCTTAAATTTTGTCGCAGCGACTCTTTAAGCTTTAAATCATAAATTGCTCTTATGGCCCTCTTCTATGTACTTATTACTTCTATGTACCACACGAGTACCACTCTACTCTGACGCTCGAGAATTGATTTAACTGAGAACCAGGGTAGCTGGTTATAAATGTTAATTTAAAATCAATGTACCTACATGGGTCTACAATTATTTTCAAATATTTTCGTATTAATAGAAAATTTCCAATTAACCGAATAAAATAACGTTATAACGATATACCGTTATTAGCGGGTTTTAGCTATTGGTATTTTGCATGTTGACGGTACGGGCTCGATGAGCCGCCATTTCTAGTCCCATTCTTTATCCGTACGGACTGTATGTGTATTTTCCTTTTTTTTTTTTGTTTAATCGCTTTATAAAAGCAATAAATGTTCAAAGAAAAAAAAAACCTTAAATAACTTTATAATTTATTCTTGTAAAAGGGGAACATTACATCCAATTTAAACAAAACAGTTTAATATTGGTGATACACAAAAGAAAATTAGAGCGTTGTTAATAGTAACCTGTGCGTCGGCGAGTTCGGGCTTGGGGTCGGGGAGCGCGGGGTCGGGCGCGCCGGGCTTGGCGCGGATGCCGTAGTAGTGGTACTTGGAGTTGCCCCTGGTGCCCAGGCGGCGCGTGCGCAGCCCCACGAACACGGAGCGGATCAGCTTGCCGAACGACGCCGCGTTCACCGGCTCCAGCCGGTGCGCCGCGCAGTGCCGCAGGTAGTGCGCGTACAGAGTGGACCGCGGCAGAGACACGCCTGCAACAAATGCCACTTACGATTCCGCCCAATAATCCTGCGCTCACTAGATGTCGCTAGTGGGCATGAGGTAAAGTTTTTTGTTAATCAATGATATTTAACTGAGAAGTTAGTTTTAAATAAAATTTAATCACTTTCTAGAGTATTATATTTATGCACAAAGAAATGCCTCGGTGATTTGCTCCTAAATTTTTCGCACATTTTAACTATTTTCTTAATTTTTCTACTTTAAGGAATATCCGTAGTTGGTGTTACGGACGGCGCGGGGAGCCGCCGCCCCGTGGCCCCTTCATACTCCGTTGCGTCCCGCGCAACCTGCACACCGACCGAATATCACGTGATGGCGTCGACGAATCAGCGCGCGGCATACCTCACGACGCTACTCACTAGGGGTCGCATTACCGGACCTATTTTCAAAAACCGGTGTTTTCGGTATTACTTTTTAATGAATACCGAGATTCCGGTAGTTTCGGTATTTTCGGTAGTTCGGTATTTATATTATTTCTAATATAGTGAGAAAAGTATTCAAAGTATGTTATGGAATCCTAATTTTCGTAAGGGAATTGTTATCAGCCAAACAATAAAAGTGTGTAAAGATAAGAAAATCACATTAAAAAAAATTAATCATTTATTACGAAAGTTTAAGAAATAACTCACTGCTACTGAGTTATTTTAAACATAAAAAATTTGTAGTAATCAGCTTTAACAAAAACATAAAATACTCCTGCTAAGTAACTTCTTTATAGCTAAACACAAAAACCGAAATTGTATCATTTATTTATCTTATCCTCAGCTTTAACAAAACATAATGCTCTTTGGCGACTGATCTTATTCCTAAACAAAAAAGTAAAGGTGGAAATTGGAAACAATCATTCGCCATTCACATTAACTCTATAAATTTGAACTTAATTCTTATTATACATTTCTCTTTAACAGTTTTAAATAAGCTAGGTAAGATCTAGGAACGAGATTCAGTCAGTCATAATAGTGCAACTAGTGTTTTGTCACTTAATCTTGAGCGCAAATGATTACAAAAGTAACCATTGAAGAGAAAGGTCTCTCCGACTCTACAATGGTAGGAAGAATGCTTTTTAAATTATGATATGCTAATAAGAAATATTTTCCCCTAGAACTGCCGTTTTCATATAGAGCATTTCTATATTGAGGATATGCATCGCCTGGAGTAATTTTAGATACATTATCTGGATTCCGCAGTTTTTTTTGAACTGCCATTTCTAATTGCTTCTTGAGCGGTAGTGTGTCAGATTTGTAATTCCTGTGTGTATTCTCCTCGTCTGTAGTAGAAACAGAAACAATCGTACGTTCCGTAGCCTCAGTCATCCCAAGCTGATGTAGGTCTGCAATATGTTTTCGATTTCGCCGCCATTTGACCTTAGAAAGATGTCGGAGTAGTCATCATCTGATGAATCAAAATATGATTTAGGATTGTGCAAATAATTCAGAGTTGAAGCCACAACCTGCGCTCTTTAATCCTTAGCTTCGAAGATCGGAAAAGTTCACGAGCAACTGGTTCATAATGCATAACCTCTAATTTTTTTGAGCGTAAAAATCAAAGCCGCGTCCGAAGTCATCAGGTTGGCGTTTTGCAAACTTATTCGACTGGCGGTTTTTGGGATTTTAAATACATTGCTGAGATCAACCAGTTTTTTCAACTCATTCCCAGATATTTCGGGGTCCTTATTTGAATCTATTAGCGCCTTTTGAATAGATATTTTGAGTATGATAAATCTTTCTAACATATCTGCTAAACTGTTCCACCATGTCCTACAATCTAAAATCAAACTGAGCTCATGTCCTATTTCTTGCAACGAGCATGCGGCTCACCTGATGGTAAGTGACTACCGCCGCCCATGAACAATCGCAACACCAGGGGAATTGCAGATGCGTTGCCGGCCTTTTAGAAAGGTGTAAGCTCTTTTCTTGAAGGTTCCTAAGTCGTATCGGTCCGGAAAATTCGCTGGTGATAATTGATTCCACAAGGAAGTTGTGCGAGGGAGAAAACTTAATTAATTCTTTAAAGATAAATTCGTTTGCTTTTCCTTGATTTGATCTTTGTGCTCTCAGAGTCAAATAACCCCTCGTCTTGTAATCTTATCCATAACATTCCGAAGCAGAGTCATAAGAATCATCTTCTTCCAGTTCGTTTAGTTGAGTTTGGGAACTGTTTTCTTTTTTATAGGGCACGCCTAATATCGCTAGCTGTATACCATGAGCAAGGCATTGCTGGTGGAAAAGTGCTGTTTGTCTTCGAAACGCGATCATTATTACACTGGCACCGTTAGTAGTTGTACAGACTATACCCTCATTTAGAGACAATTCGAATGCGGACAACTTCCAGTAACTGCAAATATGTTCTGGCTTGTATGCTACCAAACACTCTTACCAGGCCGAGATTGGCAAAATTATTGGTTAACATGGCACTGTAGATATTAACGTTCATAAATCGAAAATTTCCCAAATTCGTCCATTCATCCAGTGTCAAAGAAAGTTTCACTGCGTTTGCTTTCCGTTTGCGCAGTTTTGTAATCAAAGATAATTTCAAGGTCTCACTGTACTTTAACAACATGTTTTTAATGGAGTTTGAGGATGTAGGCATTTTGTATCCACATTGCGCCACGATGCGCGTTTGGTCTATAGATGTAACAAAATTGCTAAATGGTAGGCCATCTAAAGCTGTCATACGAGAAACTGTGTCTGGTAACGTTTATTGACATAATATTATTTACCATAGATTTATAATGAAATACCGAAAAAACGTAAATACCGGTTTCCGTTCACTCAATCCCGGTATTTTAAAGCTTTCATTTCAGTCCGGTATTCCGGTATTTTCGAGATTCGGGATTCCGGTTTGCGACCCCTACTACTCACATGCCGAGACACTCCCTTTCGAGATACAAGAAGGGCATTTTTGGTCTGTGAGCTGTTCATTTCGGAAGCGGCACTTGAAGACAACAGCAAGAGTAGAAACATCAAGAGAAATCAAGAGAGAAGAATTAATACTCCATTGAAGATTGAAGATTCCCCTCTGTGTATATACTAGTTTAGTGAAAGCCGCATTGTAAATAGCTGAATATATAATCGTCTACAGTACCCTTTTTTCTTGAACAGTCCCTAGTGTAGTCTACCTTAAGTAACGTCAGTCGAGGCACAGTTAGACAGTTAGTTTAAAATCGTACAGTCCACTGCAGTCCTCAATAGTTGGGTTTATTCATTTCTAATGTAATTAATATAAAATATAAGTAATATAACAGAAAGAAACTTTAATCCTTACATTTTCCTAACAAATCAACTTCCTCGCTATGAAATCTGTCAAATATTTCACTTCATACGAAAGTGGCGCCGCCCTGGTGGTAGAAAAAGTATTAGTACCCTCAATTACCATGTTCATCACGTTGGTGCTAAAAAAATTACTTTCAATTTTGGCAAATAAAAAAGTATTATGTAATAATCTGTATTTAATATATATTCTTGTGAAGAGTCGTCTGAAATAAGTGAAATAGAAATTCAGGAAGAAGTGGAGAGAGGTGGGGAGATAAGTGTAGATGAAATAATGAAAGCAATGAAAAGCATGAAAGCAGGTAAGGCAGCCGGATATGATAGAGTATCACTCGAAATGCTAAGGGCTGGTGAGGGTGTGGTTGCAGGCCTGCTGCACACCTTGTTTAATTTATGTTGGCAACTGAAACGGGTACCGGAAGACTGGTGCAAAGCCGTTATAGTCCCAATATATAAGGGAAAGGGGTCGCAGCAGGACTGTAAAAACTATCGTGGTGTCAGCTTGCTTAGCATTGTGGGTAAACTGTATGCTAAGGTGTTAATTGAAAGAGTTATGGAAGAAACTGATGGAAAATTTTGGGATGTGCAAGCTGGATTTAGAAAGGGGATGGGGTGTACGGATCAAGTCTTTTCCATGCGCATGATAGCGGAGAAGTTTCTGGCTAAAAGCCAGAAAATTTTTTGTGCGTTCATGGACTTGGAAAAGGCTTATGACAGAGTGGACAGGAATGTGTTATGTCAAACACTGAACTCATTTGGGTTGAGCGCTGGCTTGATACAGGCATTGAGGTCTCTTTATAGGGACTCTAGTGCATGTGTCAGGATCAACGGGGTCTACTCGGACTGGTTTGGCATTCATAAAGGTGTCAGACAGGGATGTGTGGCTTCCCCGTGGCTTTTTAACCTATTTATGGACAGTTGTTTGCAAACTTTGAAAGTTGAAGAATGTGGGTTGAGAATGGGTGAGTCAACCGTCAAATGCCTTTTGTACGCCGATGATCAAGTCATATTTGCATCGTCGGCGGCCGGGTTGCAAATAACGGTTACTTTAATGAATTGGTCATTGCAAGAACGGGGTATGAAAGTGAACGCAAGTAAGACGAAAGTGATGTTTTTTGAAAGAGAAGAAAGTAAAACTTTATGTGAAATAAGAATAGAAGGGGAGTTGATTGAGCTAGTGGATGAGTTTGTATATTTGGGATGTTTATTTAGCAGGGATGGTAGATATGATAAGGATATAGAACGACGAGTGAACGCAGGAAATAGAGTGAAGGGGGCTCCACACGCTATTATGAGGAGTCAGAATGTGTCAACTAAGGCACGCATGGCAATTCATAATGCTGTGTTAGTCCCTACTTTAATGTATGGTAGTGAAAGTTGGGTCTGGCAGAAGAAGCATGAGAGTAGAATAAATGCTGTAGAAATGCGTTCCTTAAGGAGTATGCTAGGGCTGCATCTGAATGACAGGGTGAGAAATAGTGTGATAAGAGAAAAGTGTGGTTTGCAAGATGACGTTGTGACAAGGTGTTACGGCCAACAGCTGCCCTGCCTAAACAGGAGTTGAATCCTTCGCGGCCCATAGACGAAGGAGCCACGGGCAGATGCAGGTCGGGCGTTCCTACGCCGAGGGTCAAAAGTTTCTAATGAACACGCGAGGGGAAAGGTCACTAGAAGAAATGCACTTACCTGCCTCAGGAGCGCAG